ACAGATAAATGAGTTGTTTTAAGAAAACAAGCAACGGAAATATAGAGATGATTATATTCACCATAGCTAAGCAATTATAACAACCTATATTGGCTAACAAAAGTAAAAATTTTAAAATGTTATTCTGGGTTTGTACGTTTCGAAACTTTGAAAACTGAAATAAATCTGCCCATTGACGCAAGACAAGAACGTTTTTTTTCGCTTTCAATTCGCATGAATTTCCTCTGTTCATGATAACCGTTCGAAGAAAAAAGCCACAGGGAACCTCTTCACTAACACATTTCTTTAACAAACCCTTAATAGTCAAGCAACTGTTTATTGAAAATGGTGCTTGACTTTGTCATATATATGTAATTCCGTGCATTCGATAATTCATTATGTCTCATAAACTTTGACCAGGGATGATCTTCTTTGAAGGATACCCTTGTATATCGCACTCATTTTCCATAGAAACTTGGACCGTACAGGAGACTTAATTACCTTCTTCGACTGAACTCGCTTATGTACTGCAGAGGGAGCACAATAGGATTTTACGGGGGTCAGTCATTGTATATAACGCCTTTGACACCTAACCACGAACGACACTTTCGAGGAATTAATAATAACAATTCATAGTCCAAGACGCATGACTCCAGTCAATCCGTTGCATTAGGTTAAGCTTTTCACCTAGTATTATTTTACCAGTTTAGCTTTTGGTGCAGAGCCTAAACAGGAAGAAAGAAGTTCATTTCTAATAGTTATAATAATCTTGGCTTGAAACCAACAGTTTGCATCGTAACCATAGCTACCAGACAGTAATAAAAGAAAACACGTTTGGCTCAAGATCACTAAAGTTGGGCACCAAAGAACGTTAGATCATTGAGGGTAAGAAACGATAGATTTAATGCATGGATAACTTGAGTTGAATTTCATTCCATGGTATAAATTGAATATCCACCCTTAACTTCTCTATTTCTGTGTGGCTGAAATAAAACGAAAAAAAGAAAAATACCGAGCTTTCAAATGTGGGTATAACAAACGTTTGGCGAAAAAACAGCTTCAGCTATTTGAAATAAACAAGATCATTATCCTTAACTTCAGATTCTTGCAACGGGTCTACTTCTTACCTTTTCTCAGCGATATTTGTTTATGTTTATAATGACGCCCCTTCTCGAAATTGCAGTTGCATTATTACCGTAAATAGAGAAAAGTGCCAAATTATAAAAAGTCAGTGCTGGCGGTTCCAAGCTCGTCACAAATTGTGAAACTCGAAATGACAGGAAAATTTCACAAAGCGATGAGAGAAGTATTAATGCAGTGACGAAGCCCGCTGTTTGGGTTCAATTTACGGTAAAGAAAAATCGAGTTGATGACAAAAATCTTCCTCATTTGAAATATATAACTTGCCAAAAATTACGGTTGTTTTTTTCTGTACTTATAAAGATTTCCTTTCACAGATTGTTTTTTTCCTATCCCTCAACTTAGACCAATATGCAGCTCGTTTGAATTCCGTTCATATTATGACAAAAGTGATGATTTTGAACAAAAAGAACCTTGAAAAAATATGGAAGTTGATTTATATGGCTTCCCATCAGAAAAATAAGTCGGGAACCAAATGTTGGCTCACATGTCTCTTTAACCTTAAGCCTGCAACAATTTTATCTAACGGATCCGGAGGAAAACCTGATAATGTCCTATAATTCAAAAGGTCTTCCAATGAAGGCCTTGGAAGCCAGATCGGATACTTGATGGTTTGGATGAATCCAATCTTAAATTACGGCACAACTTTTACAAACATCAATTTGCTATTATCTTTAAGATGAAGATGGCGCTTATAACCACATTCAGAGCGTCGTCTCAGTAATGCTCTGGATTATATAAGTATAGCAGCTGTCTAAACTGGATCGTGCTCATTTGTTATAAGGTGTCTGAGGGGTTCTGCTTCGACAATCTTTATTCAATCCTGATGTATCGAGACAAAGGTCGTTAGTTGCTCAGAAAATTTATGGAATATCTGTTGTTTAATACCCACCGTCTACGGGAGAGTTATTGTTTGCTCAAACTAAAGAGCTCATTAGAACTCATCATTAATCAATTTTGATGATACTGAGTGTCGAGGAAGATGAAATTGCTAATAACTTGGGACTTGAAGTTATTGCGTTCCTGTATTATTTCGAGTAAGTAGAAGGGCCAAACGAGAAAATATTTTGCTCTATGTAATGAAGTGGGAGGTACAGCTTAACAACTACAAACACGACATTCGAAACTCAAAATGGAGTTTCCCTTATTCATTTCGTCGAATTAGAACAAGAGACTCACAATCCTTCCAAGAACGTGGCTTATTTCATAATTTCAGGTATATTTCAAGATATAGTCTTAATTCGTGTTTTTGGAAAATGAAAGCTAACTGTACGAGTGTAGGGATAGCGTCTTTTTTGGCGGTTAAGGTTACGCCGACCTGTCTGCTCCTAAACACCGATTACCATTATCCGCAGTATTTCGTGATCGGGACTTTCGGTACATAAGATCTATTTTTATTACCATATTTTTGTAATAATTTTCTTTTCGTCAATTCAGCAGTTTCCCCTGAGAATGAACAAGAAAAACAAAAAAACAAAAACAAAAAAAGAAAACAAACAAACGAAGAAACGTTGAATCTATGGATCGATCTTGAAAATTTGAAGTTCTCAGAAACTCGAGGGAACTTAGCTTTTTATGTGACTGCATTATCGTAATATGTTCACCTAATGTTCTTATGAATATGTTTTTAATGTTATTGTCTTAAACGCACTCCCTTGACTGTAATTATGAAGCAATTGAAGTTAATGTTATGGAAATTTGTGTAGTAAAATCCCTTTTTCTAATCTGTTGATGAACACTAATAGAATCGTAGCCCTTCAAAACCAAAGTGTCTCTAACTGGCTTTTAAGGAAGACAGTGGAAACGTGTTTATTCGCAAACTTTAAAACGCGTACCCACGTATATTATTTGCATGTGCAGGACTGACAGCTGTTCATTTTGTTAACATCCCTTTTTAATACCAATAGGTGGGTTTCTATTACTTAATTCATCAATAAATTTGTGGCACACTGAAAGCATCAATACTGAGCTCCGTTGTCTTGAGGAAGCATGGAATTTCCAGCGTTTCTAGTATTCTCAGTCTGGACTTCATCGATGACTTACTTGACGTTTGGTAAAGGTGAGTTACAAAATGCGAATCATTTTCTATTCCTATATTTATACTTCAGCCCGTGTTATCTTATTTTCCGTCACGCTTTTTTTCTATTTCGCCGATCCACAACAGTTGATGCATTGAGCTTATATCGTGTGGTTATGACAAAACTAAAAACCTAGATTAAAAAAACATGATTTATAAAGGAAGGAACCTCAGTATTGTAAACTTCTTTTGTAGTTATTAACAGTATTTAACAAAGGCGTGTTTTTATGATGAACCATATCGAAAATTTTCAGTTGTTCCAAAAAAACTAAGAACTACTGCAATGAAGAATTGCTTCATTCAAAACCACTTCAATCCCAACCCTCGGCTCATATTACATGGAAGGGTAATCAATTCTATCAAAAACATTTCGTTGTTGTTGAGAAGACAACAATTCGATAATTTGCATGAAAGAAAAATTGGCGGCCCATGGCCAACTTAAGCAGAGTCATTTTAATAGAAGGAAAATGCTGGTATTTGAAATAGACCACGTTTCCTTATTTTAAAAATTTGTTTATAAATATAGGGTAGCTCGTCTCATAAGTTTTCAACTATTTTTGTGGAATTGAAAAACCCTTTGACGCAAAATCCTTTTAAGTATTACTTTTTGAAGCGGAGGCTTTAAAACTTGCCAAAGAACAAATGGGATGATTGAGAAGATCCTGGACAAAATCTTTGCACAGAAGCTTCGTGTAGTTTTCCAATTTTGTGTTCTTTCAAAATGAATCTCACTGCAACGATACCTTGACTGAAATTTTTTCAAATATTCATTATTCAGAATTTTTAAAACTCTGTTGCTATGATCAATATTTTTCAACAGCAGAAAAATGTGTGGGTAAACTTTATTCGACATGAGGAAAAAAATAAATGCATAAAAACGAGAAGCAGATAAATAAGATGTTTTCAGAAAACAAATGACGGAAATAACGAGTTGATTATATTCACCATAGCTAAGCAATTCTAGCAACCTACGTTGGCTTGCAAAAGTAAAAATTTAAAAAAAAAATCATTCTAGATTTGTGCATTTAGAAAACTCTAAAAATACCAATATAACTCTGCTCACTGACGCAATACAAGAATGGTTTTTTTCGGCTTCAATTTGCATGAATTTCCCCTGTTCACGATAGCAGTTTGAAGTAAAGAGCCCTAAGGAACCTCTTCAGTTATATATCTCTTTAATAAACACTCGATACTCAAGCACCTGTTTATGTAAAGGAAAAAAAAAATACCCTTGAAGACCATCCCTGGTTAATCTTCTTTAAAATATAAAAGACTCCCTACAAGATAACTTAAATTAAGTTCATTGCACTGATGACAACGATATCAAAGAAGCAAACACTAGTGAACTCCCTTCGTAGTAAGAATTTCACAGAGTGTTTGACGAGTTCGTTTTTTTTTTCTTTTTATGATAGACGATATGATAGACTCAGCTAAATTCGTAAGAGCCTTTTGAATTGCAAAAATTCATGTGAACACAAAAAATTTGCCTTCAAGGTTCCGTACCTCACAAACAATCAAACTCCCAAATTTATGTAGTTTTATCTTATTGTTTTTAGTTGTAGAAAACGGTGGAGTAATTTACAGAGTTTTAAGACACATTTAACAAATCATAGTTCCTCTCACCAAATATTTTGTTTAACCTACGTTCTCGACGTATTTGCCACCATACTTTGCTGAGATCCGAGAAATTTTGCTAAGATATTTGTTCTTAGAACTTTTTACTCGAAATTAATTTTTTTTTGCAACGGAGAAGTATGCTTCATCATAATGTTTCAATTTATCTATTTTAGAGCGAGAGCGCGCAATGGTGTTTCCAGACCACTACTTCTTTGCTGAAAGACGACTGGTAAACCATACTATCGAAACAAGAAAAGTCAAGAACTTTGATGATTGTGAGCTTTGGTGCTACCTGAACGACAACTGTGTCAGTCTTAACTTCAAAAAAGATCCAGAGAATACGGACCTGGTTCACCTCTGTGAATTAAATAACGCCACGCACCTGAAATATGACAATAAGTTGACAAATAATGTCAATTTTTATTATCGTGGCTCGAAGGTGAGCTACGAATCGATTTAAAAAAATTGTCGCCTTGGAATAATATAAAAACAGTGATTAATGCTTATGCAAATTTTCGTGCTTTCGATCATTCGGTTTTGAGTTTCTTCTTTAATTCAATTCGGCCATCTTTCTTTCGTTATTTCATTTAATCTATTTATTTTTCCTTCTTTAGAACGCTTGTGACAAGAGTTCCCTCTGCGAAAATAACGCAACTTGCCAGTCTGGATTTACACTCAAGGGATATCGATGCTTATGTCCTCCCGGATACGAAGGAGAACGTTATGAAAAGGGTAAAAGTCTTAGTAAACTCTTGAAATGACGTATATGTGATATTTTTTCTTATTCGCAATACTCCTTTGGCAAATTTCCTTTAGTTACTGAAAGTGGAGTGAATTCGTCTTAATGTATATTGAGCTGAATTTTTCCAAAATAAAATTTCTTTTTATAGTTTATTGTTCATGAGCGTGTGAGATTTTTTGTTCGCTCGCTCGTTTGTATATTTTTGTTCGGTGTTTTTTGTACATGTTTGCCGGGATCTTTTTTTTTTCTTTTCATCGTGAACGTTTGACACCTTTTCCGTGGAAATAGCGGTTCATATGTATGTTGTATGCTTAATAAAGTAACTGCAAGGAGAATAAAGGGTGAGTTTCTAAAGAAACTGTGGTGCTGCGTCGGTGGGAGAGTATAGCAGGTAATTTAGTGTTAACAACTGGGTTGAAAACGTAAATTAGCCACCGTAAGCGTGAGCCCTTCTTCAGAGCGATTAGAGGAAATGTGGGTTGTGTGTGGGTTTATATGCAGGAAGTGGAGCTACGCCATTGGTGGGAATATGGTGACGAGAAAACAGGAATAAATTAGTTGAATGAAAAGTGCTCGTTGATTCCGTGGAGATTAAGGGTGCCGATTTGGAATATAAATTTTTGTTCTAGTGTTTTACGGCTTTCCGAACTACCTAGATGTAAGGAAAGGCCGCTAACTTCCATATGCTGTTTAGAATGATTAGGAAGATTAAAGTGTCTAGCGAAGGTTTGGATGGGTTCTTGTCATTTCTTTCCACATCGCGAAGAACACCTTCCTTAGGACAAGTATTCAATTGACTCGGTATGAATTGCTGCTGGTCAGATGGCCATTACTAGCCATTTTATCGCTTTGTCGTATCCATTTCATCAAAATTCAGATTACCAGACCTCCCTTCATGTGTATTTCAGCGATATTAAACCATCTGAAACGTTTCGTTACGCCATTTGCAACATGTTGAAGTCGGCTGATTTGCTCTACAGTATGTTATGCTAGTGATTTGTTCAAGTTAATTATTCATTTATTTTAGAATGAGGCCTTTAGCCATGAACTAGCATTCGTTGTTAAAATGGCAAAAAGAATGCTCAAAAATAAACTTCTGTGCATATACACCATAAAAGCGCCCAGCTGCACACAAAATTTGAACGGGGTTGGAAATTTTTATTTCTCACTTAGCTTGATTCTTCTGTAGACAAGCTATTCAAAAATTAACGTGACTTCTCAAATCACTTTTCTTACCCATCTCAACTGAAAATTTCTCACAAAATTACAAATTTATCTCTTGGAAAATACTTAGTACTTAATGTTTTTGTAAAACGTAAGTTCCCTTACTGGTTGTTAAACTGTCAGAAATATAGTACGGTTAAAAAAGATATATATATATATATATATATATAACAATTGATTCTAATGACTGAAATCTTTTCACAATTGTAATTTTACTTTGTAGCTGATCCTTGCTATTCTTACCAAAACCTGACTGAGGCCAACCGAAAGATCAGTGCCACAGAAAATGACCCTAGTATGGATTTGTGTGATAAAAGTCTCCGAGAGGGATGGTATCGTTTTGTGGGAGCTGCAGGAACAAAAATGCCAACAACGCGTGTGGAACCATACCGCTGTGGTACAAACTGGCCAGGCTGGTTGGATGGTGCTCATCCTACAGTGGAAGATGGTGAAGTTCGCAGGAAAATCTGCTTCAGTGATCGTCCCTTCGGTTGTAGACACTCAAACAATATTTTTGTAAAGAACTGCGGAGCCTACTTCATCTACAAACTTTATGGTTCACCTGGTTGCAATTCACGCTACTGTGGTGCAGACTGAATGTGAAGCAAAAATTCAAAGAAATAAGAGAACTCATAAATTGATCCTCAGGAACACGTACTTCAGGGATTTTGCGAAGTCCTCTTTTTATGATAATCGTTCATTGCTTCTTTAGGTTTTATATGCTGATGATTTCCTGATAACTTGCCATAAAAAATGCTTTGAATTTCACATTTTACAAAATATCTCTCGTAATAATAGTCACAAATAATCAATTTCTGAAGAGAAAGAAAGAAGAAAAGAAAAGAAAAAGAAAATGCCTAGTGAAATCCTAAACAAGCAGTAACATCAATCCGCATAATAACTAGCAAAATGCGACGAAGCTGTGCCCTCGAAACGCGAAAAGCTGCTTAACAAGACACAATGTATACCACGGTATGATAATTTTCGCTTCAGCTTATTTTAAAAATTAGATGCCGCTTTTGTTAGTGCTAATGACGTGTTCAGCCTAATAGTTCCTTTAAAAAACAAAGCAACACGTGGTGCGATTATGTAAAGACTGGTGTGTATTAATACCATTTAGTGTGAGGCAGTAAGGTATGGCATTAAAGATTTACTGTCTTTATTGCAGTTTCACTCTAAAATGAAAAATTTTCCACGTCGAAAAGCTTAAATGAAATATATTGCCCTTATTCCAATTCTATGAAACCATGCATCATGGCGTGGAAAAGAAATTCCAAATGCCAGTGTTAATTATTTTGGGTTTAGGTCAGGGTAAGGTCTAAGGGATAGGAATGAAGTTACACACGATTCCCTTGTCAATTATTTGTCCTCCGAGACCGAGAAGAAAGTTAAACGCATAGGAAATGAGATAAACACTTGCCAATTTCTTTATAAACTCTTCAGGGGTTTAATGAAAGAATATTCATGTGACTATCGTTTATATACTAGGAAAATTTACATAATACGCGGTAAACTTAAAAACTTTAAAGTTCAGCTGTTGCGTAGCAACGCTTTGTTTCTGTGTCGGCATGAAGATACGAGTTCGTTACGCTTATTTAGAGATGAGAGGTCGGGTCGGTAAATTATCAGGAATTTTTCTTTTAGGCAGAGGTTGCATCTTTTACTGGAGCTGTTGTAGGGAGAGTTAGATGATAAGGCGCGCCATGAAATAGAATAGTCAATGTTGTCGTTCTTGAGTGTCCAGATGTGTTTGCTAAGTTCGGTAGAGTTTTTGTGCTTGGCGTGGCGGAATGATGCGGTGTGATTTCTGTGTCTTGTTTTGAAGTCGGTTTCTGTGAGTCCAATGTATGTTTCAGAGGTGTTGTTGTTGAATGAAACATTATCGCGTGATAAATGATACATTATTGCGCGATAAATGAAAAATTATCGCGCAACAAATGGGAAACTTGTTAGGTAACACGTGATGGGCGGCCGCGCACGTTGTTTATGTGGAGACAATGACTGCCACGGTTGAGGAGGTATGATTTGAGGTCACTACTTTGTTTTATTTTCATGAAAAGATAATTGAGCAGTACTTTGCAATACTTCTTCGACACACAGCTCTCTGAATCAGTACAGTAAACGTTGATTTTGCGAAATCTAAAAAACACTTTCAGAGGTGGCTGTCAGCGTCTGAGAACAAGTGTGGATTATCTAATCTATCTGATTACATTGCAGGTTTATAAGTTACTAGATTAAGAAAGAACCTACCAACTGTTACAGGCATTGTCGTCTCATCCACGAAAATAACGTGTGTGACAGCCGGTCACGTGCAACCTAACAAGTTTCCCATTTATCGCGCGATCATTTTTCATTTATGGCGCAATAATTTTCCACTTACCGCGGGATAATTTCCATTTATTGCGCTAAAATTTGTTTTAATCGCGCGATAATTTGTTCGGCCTGTCCTCTATGAGCCACTGTATTTTTTGATACCTGCTAAATTTCAGTTGATAAAGACGTAATGCTGTTAAATAGACGTTCTCTACTTTTAAGCATTTAATAATTAGCTAGAACAAACTGTGACGTAATTAAATCATGGCTAGCTCACACCAGTAAAACTGAGGTTTATTACAGTGACACAGAACGTACTGGGAGTAGCCCCTATACATTATTTCATCATTACAGTTGATTTCTTCAATCCTTGGTTGTACTTTTATTTTATTTTGCTCAAAAATGTGCATCCGCTATTGAGGACTTGTCAGTATCCTTTACTGCTGAAAGGGCGTGAGTAATTCCACATGCAAACTTTTGATTCGCCGATGTTTTTCTCTTTTCTTATTGTGGCACTATTAACAAAATGCATTTGAAAGCGCTCTTGATGGTGTATCTGATAAATAAATTTTCAAATATACCGTAAGCAAGGAAAAAAAATCCACTTACCAAATAATTCGTAAACTTGCTGTTTCCAGAGCCGAAAGAGCCCAAATTTTATCGCACCTTACATTCCCATCCATCTTTCCAGAACGGCGAAGCATTAAAACAGCTTTATGCGCTAAAAACAAATGGTCTCAAAGCTAGCCGAAGTACAGACAGTTTTTTTGCTCCATTGAACCACAAATATTTGGGGTCTACCGTGAAAAATATTGAAAACAGTAGAACCATTCTTTCTATGTATTATCTCTTTGAAAAACAATATACCAACCATTGGATTGTTTTGACGATGGCATGCGACAACTGTCATAAGACCACGTGATACATATGTCGCAAACGATGATCTCAGTGTGTCGTCACAGAACAGCATAGAAATACACAGTCGTGATATTGTCTTTTGTAGAATTTTTATTTTCATAGCTAACACACAGCAGCGGGTTGAAAGTAAAAACACGTTAAATAAAAATCTTAGTTAAGTTAATTAAGATTAATAAATTACAAACAAAAATTAATACAAGCGAAACGGAAAAATTCTTACCTTGATCAAGCGTAATATGTAATTGCAATAGCGAATAACTTTTAAGTTGAAAAATACTTTAAGACAGAGAACTTCGCGCTTTTGGTAAACTGCCTAAGAAGAGTGATTATGCATAAAAAATGAAGGGGATTGCGTAGTTGCGTGCGCCATGAAAAACGTACAAATGAGACAAATAAGATGCAACTAAAGTAGGGAAATTATAACAAACTCAACAAAAAACACTAAAAAGGAGTAATGGGAAAATAAAGGAAGAGATAAGTAAGAAAACAAATAACTACAAAATTACACAAAAATAATTAGCAAGCAATTTAGATCATACATCCCCAACAACGCTCATTAATATTCTTCTGATTCTCCCCCGTTCATTAACAGTTAATCATTTGCCGGTGAATTTTCTGCAGTCACGTTCCCTCCTTTAAGCTCTTTTGGGGATGACTCCATTCCCTCATGTGATCTTTCTCCTTCCTTCCGCCCGCCGCCCTACCCCCCCCACACCCCTTTTCTGTTTTTCAAATGATGAACAATGACAGGCCCCTAATTCTTTAGAAAATCTTGCATACTTCATCGAAAAGGCTTATAACAGAGCTTACATAGACATTTAGTGTGACATTACGGCTGTATGAATGAAACTATGAGAAAAAGTGTTCGGATTCATTAACAGTTTATTATGACCAAGGTGATAAACCGAAAAAAATCTCGCTTTCTCTCGGTTTTTTCGATATTCTTGTTTTCTCTTTCATGGTACAGAAAAAGTCAGCAATGATGGTCAAGATCCATATGAAGAAGTGGAATTGACCCTATGCAGAACAAAAAGAGACTGGGAGCGATCAACTTGAAAACGAGGCTAGTTGGGCCTTGTTTACTCGTGTTAGAAATATGGCCGCTCATGGCTCTGTAAGTAGCCGTCTTTCTCAGAGTCTTACGGAGGATCGCTTCAGGGAAGAAATCCGACTGCTCTTAAAACAGATGAACTTCGCTTTTGGTTAAAATGTCGTGGCAATCCAGCAAAGGGGTTAAAAACAAAGGCACAATTGTCGAAAAGGTAAGTACAGTATTTGTCAGTCGTTCGTGATACTTTTTAGAATTAAAAGAGACTTTGATATTGTAAATGGAGATCAAAAGATTTAGGAGTTATTTTTCTCAATGAAATGTTTCAAAAATGTAATGATTAATAGTTTTTCTACTTTTCATTTTGAAGAATTCTTGAATATGTTGCGTGTGGTCGTGATAAAGATGTTGTGGATCCCGATAAAAATCTGATATACACGCGTCGAAAGGCGAGACAAGAACAACTCGCTCAAAGTGATGCGATGCCTGAGGAAAGTACTGTTAAATTTCCATCAGCCGGATGGTCTACAAGTTTGCGACGAATGCCATTATTCACAAGGGCAGAGATGGATTTACATATTTCTAAATCTGGAAAAAACTTTGATAGAAATAAACAGAACCATGCTGTTCCAACAAGCATGAAAAAGGCAAAAACATTTCTTGATGATGAATACCTGAAAGACTTAACTTGCGCAAGTGATGACCAATATTTCTATTTCAAATGCTTGTGTTACCACAGCTTTAAAAAAAATGAGCCACCCCACAAATTACAAGTTGCACTTTTTTTAGTGAGTGGAGTTGTTAAATATGCTTCGTGTACATGTGTAGCAGGATCTGTTGGTTTTTGCAATCATGTGCTTGCTGTTATGATGAAACTCTGTAAGTTCAGCTTGTATTGTTGTCAAGATATTAAGGACTTGGAAAATGAATCTGATATGACACAAGCTAAGGCATGCACTTCAAGTTTACAACTATGGCACAGGCCTGTAAGAGGAGATAAAATCAAGCCTCAACCTGTCATGGAACTTAAGGTAAAAAAGTCGAATATAGACACAGAGTATAACCCTGATAGCGGAGTAAGGTGCTTGTTGAATGAAGCTAGGAAAAAATTGGGTACACAAGCATCCGATGAAGCTTTGTTAAAAAACAAGCTTCAAGAGATCAACCCTAAGTTTGCCTTGTCTCAAATTATGTCTACTGGTGGTACCAACTTACAGGAAACAAAATTTGGAAAATGTCCAAGTGGCTCATATGCAAGTTACCAGTTACAGTTCACAGAGTCTAATTTTCAAGTTTTCTGTAATATTGACTCAGTGCCTAGAGTGAACTGTAATGATGAACAAAATGCTATTTCCGTATATCCTCCATTCCCTTTGCAACAATCTGAGCAGTATGAAAAGCCAGATGATTTAAGCAGCAACCAGGAAGCACTCCTGGATCATTGATTGTTGATGAGGCAAAGCTTAATACCATAGAGAAGAAAAGAAGTGAACAAGCAGCCTCACAGGAATGGCAGGCTGAAAGGAAATTTCGGTATACAGCATCTAATTTCCACACAATTGTAAAAAGGCAAAGGAATCATAACACTCTAGTAAATAATCTGCTTCATCCCAAACCATTCACTGCCAAACAAACTGCACATGGGAAAACCTATGAGCCTGTAGCCTTAAGAGAATATGAAAAATATATGTTTTCAACAAGGAACCCAGGTTCAATGTTCAAAAGTGGCCTTGTTGTCAGTATGGCCTCTCCCTTTTTAGCAGCATCACCAGATGGCAAGGTCATTGACCGAGGCTGTAGCAAGCCTTTTGGACTGGTAGAGGTTAAATGTCCCTACTCTAAATTTCATGTGAGTCCTTTAGAAGCATGTGCCAATGAAACTTTTTATGCAGAAAATGTAAATAGAAATCCGAGGCTGAAAAGGGGGCACCAGTACTACTTTCAGATACAGGGTCAACTAGGTATTACAGGAGCAAGTTGGTGTGACTTTGTTATCTATACTAACAAAGGCATGAGTATAGAGAGGATCACATCTGATCCTCAATTCTGGGACGTATTGAATGAAGGCCTAAAGAAGAGCTATTTTGAACATTTCATAGCACCAGCTTCTGTGGAGTTCAATAACCATTAGAAGGGTTAACTACCCTAATCTAATCTTGGAACGAGTACAGAGAAATTTTGTGTCTCATACCTAACTTGATATGTTTAAAACAGAGTATCAACCAACATGGTCTGTATAATAAGATAGCTTTCTTTATTCTTTGATTTTAAGATCTTTAGAACTACATGTAAAAGCTGACATCTTTTAAGTGTTTGGGACTGAAAGCAAGCGAATCACAATCTTAGTTTTAGTTGGTTTAGAGAATATTTGACCTGAGGTGGATAAGCAGGTTTACATTTATTAAATTGACTGAAATTCTGTAGTGTGCCTCAGAGCTCTGCCTAACTCAGTGTTAAGTGGAAATAAGAGGGTCCTAAATGTTACATAAAAAGGCACAGACACTCCACATTTGGTTTACTACCCCAAACAAACTGAGGGGTACAACACTATCCCATAAGTGAAAATTCTTGATTTTATTGATGGCCCGTTCAACGTGTACTCTAACAGAAGCAATTTCTTGAGTCTTGATAACATCTTCTGCTGTCATTTGGCTATTAGACCCTAAAAAGGGGGGAATGTTTAGGGTTACACCCAGTGGGAGTAGGTCTTCAATTGTAAAACCTTTATCGGCCATCACGGTGTCACCATTGTCAAATTCTAACTTCAGGAAACCACTTCGTTCAACAATTTCGCGATCGGAAATGCTTCCACTATATAGCTGACTGATAAAAGTTATAGCTCCACTGGGAGCAATTCCAACTAAGCCTTTTAGAGTTACATGGTTCTTATAGGAGCTGAAGAATTTGGAATTCAACAGAAGGCTGGAAGGCATTTGGCATCTAATTTCTGTACAATCGATTATTACACGGGTGCAAGAGTATTTCTCTTTAAAGCTGTCAGGCATTGTAGCTCTTATAACCTCCCTATTAGGCCATATAGATACTTGACCAAATTTTAAATACATGTAATTTATCCAAGAAAGGAATGTTCTGCTTACTGTCGACTGCGAAATACCAAACAAGTGAGCTAGATGTTTTTCTGCAAATCCCCTTCTCAGTCTGCAAAGAACAAGGAAGAACTCCTCTCTGGGTTCTAAGCTTCTTCGTCTACCTATGCTAGTACATCCCTCTGGTTCCTCGTTTCCACTATCGTAATACTCCTTTTGGACAGTTCTTTCTTTTGATGAACAGTACCTAATGTTTTCCCCTTTCGATCCAGTATTTAAAAATTCAAACACAACATTAAATGTTGCTAAATTAGGAAATCGCGTATAAAAGGTAATGTCCTCGTCGGTAGTAAAATTGGGTATCTGAAAAAAAAGCGGGAATCTTTAAGGCTCCTCTGGCGTTTTAATACCTCTATTTCAGCCTTTAACTTCGCATTTTCAAGTTCAAAACCTCGAATTCCTTCAAGTTTTTTAACTTCTTCTGTTTGATCTTCCAACGAACTTAAGCTGTTTTCCACATCATGATTGCTAAAAGCTGCTGATGAAGTACAGGTTTCAGAAGTTGCTTCAGCTGCATCTGCAGTTGTTTGACTTTGAGATGATTGCAACTCCTTGTTTGAACACTCTGTTGTAGACGAAAGATTGCGACATTTAGGAGGTGCTCGCTTTTTCGGAGAACCTTTGGACCACGAAAATCGAGATGGAATTACCCCTGCCTTTACATAAACACGCTGACCTCCAATAGCTTTAACCAAGTCCTCGGGCTTAAAATGACGAGAACAGATCTTCGTGTTTTGGTTGACTCTAAACGCTTTTCCTTTGTCTCGACGAATGGCATGGAGCCAACGTTTTTTGACGATAACGTCGTCTGGAAACTTCAAGTAAGAAATTTTCTCCCCGTTTTCGGTTCTGTAATTCTTTTTGGTACAGTTTGGAACACAACAATTTTGCGGCATTTTCAAAAACTGGCGCCCTTCACATCAGGCGGCCATTTTTATTTACCAGGCCCAACTAGCCTCGTTTTCAAGTTGATCGCTCCCAGTCTCTTTTCGTTCTGCATAGGGTGAATGGATCAACACTAATGCTCTTACAACCATACTTGTAAGGGTGACCATGTTAGACCCTTTCAGCCATGCAAAGACGTGAATCCGAGCTTAACCAAAACTAATACATCCCTCAACTACTCAGATAAGGAACTAACAACTGAATTATAATTATGAAAATGATAAAATAGTCTTTTTGCAATTACCATTCAATTTTGTAGTCGACCCATGTATGAATTACAAAGCCATGAGTAATGCCGATAAAAGGGGCACTTACGTCACAGTCTTCAATGAAATGTCACGTGACAATGGATCCTGGCGATGGTATCGTTTCGTTGGAGCAGAAGGAGCAAGAATGCCGGACAAATGCATTAGTCGACATAAACGTAATACCGTAATACCAGGCTGGTCGAATGGCGATCATCCTTCAGTGGAAGATGAAGAAATTTCCAGAAGGGTCTACTTTTCCCAGCTACCCTAGGGCTGTTGCAGATTCATATTGAACATTTCAGTGATCAAATATGGGTCCTATTACATTTGACGTTTTGTTACGCAACCAAAATGTCCATGACGCTACTCTTGTACAGAATAAATGTATAGAAAAAATACTTCTACTGGAAGATTTGACGCTAGTGAAGAACTGCTGCATGGTTTTATTATATATACTGTGGTGTTTTACAAGGATTTCCGGCCCTAATAAAAATTGTGATTGCATGCGTGTAAAATTACGACATTTCTCTGTGTTTATTTGATACCGCCAGCTTGCGGCTGAGCGTCACTCACCTTTCATTATAATGAATTTCAAAACTTTTAGAAACGGAAGACAACCAATTAAGTTTTTTATCCTTCATCTAACAGCCTTATGAATGAAAGGGAGGATTCCCTGGCATCAAAGTTCTAATAGCCAATTTGTAAAGATTTTGCCGCATCAAAGCGTCCACGAGCGTTATGTAAGGTGGCGGTCACAAGAAGCAAGTGACAATTTAAGACTTCCCCCCATAGGCAATCTAGATTGCCTATGGGGGATGGTTCATAATAGAATGATAATTGTCATTATTTTATGATCAATATCAATTGTCATTGATCTATGATCAGATGCAAGAGGGCACCTTTTGTAGTCCAATCATTGTTAGTGCTTTCAGGTAAAAAACAAAAAGACAAACAAAAAAAAAAATCAAAACATGAAACCAACAAGGGAAGGGAGAAGAGGGGAGAGGAGGGGAGGGGATGTTCGCAGTAAAAGAATGACGGGAAAACCACTTTTATCCGGCATAGTATCTACAAAGAGTAATGGCCTCCGCTCGGCCTGAAACTAATGCTGCTATTGTAGACGCCAGGTTAA